TCCTTCTGAATAACCCTGTTTGGAGCAATTTGAAACCCTAAAGATTTGCTGTCATCTTATACAAAACAAAATAAACAAACCAAAGACCCAAATCACAAATATCAGTTGTGCCTCACAAGCCTCCCCCTGCTAACATCAATTACAACCTGGAAATGGTCAAGGGTCAAATCAATCTAAGTTTATTAAGAAGCTTTCAGATAAGTTAACAGCTTTTTTCTTTTTTTTAAAGCAATGTTTGTTAATTTCTGGATCTTTGAAACTAAGAATGGTGCTAGAGGTCACATAAGGTGACATTATAACCAAAGTTAATAGAGGCAGCTGGCGTACCTAGGAAGCCCGTCTAGGATATCCACAACAAGGCTACCCTAAGAAATGGGAGGAACAACTTCAGCCAACTGTTGTCTTTCAATCACAATATAGTAACATTAACTATAGGATTCGGAAAAACCCCACAAGCAGCATCATTGTCTCAGACTTGCCAATAACTTAGGCTAAACTAATCAAAAAAATTCTCTTTCCATTTCAACTTCAGAACTGTCTACAGCTCAATCCCCCTATTAAGAACAGCAGTCACAAAGGACATGGAGAATAGCATGATATTCATTTAGCATGGTATATTATTGCAGAGTGAAATGTGGTGACTCCCTGGATCCTTTTCTTTCAGCATCTCCATCAGTGAAGGGAACTGTGATGATGATTATTCATACAGAATCTAGCAGAAAGATCAAGAGGTGAATTTTTTTCTTTGCTAGATCTTTATCTGTAAGATTTCTGAAGGGTTACCCAAGGGTTTTGTTTTAGTTTTTTTTGGCAGGTGTAGGATCGTTATCCTGAAATTTTATTTTTACATCAGATCTGTGCTTTGTAAACCAGATCTGCCCGGGAAGGGGAAAAAAGTTCTGCCTCTAAGCATGAAGAAGCAACATACCTTAACTATATCCATATCCTTGTCTTGGTATTTTTCCTTTGTAAAACAAAATAATACAGAATAGCAGTGAGTGGGAAAGGGCTTAAAAAAAAAAACCTAGAACAACCCCCTCATTTTACAGATGAAGTAACTAAGGTTTAGCGCTCAAGTACCTTGCCTGCCGATGCCGACAATAACAGGTTATCTATACAGTAAGAATCCAACTTTCCTGATTCTTGGTCCAATACTATTTTGACTAACATGCTTACTTGTAAATAACATGAGAGAGGGAGTGATGGAAATAGATTTCTCAACTCCAATCTCCTGGAGTAAATTCAAACTGTAGAAGCATTTTCCATGAAAAAAGAAAGCATCAACTGCAAAGGCAATAGGTCCAAATTCGCAATATAGACTAGATACTTTGCAAAAAGCACATACCAAAGCCTGTTAATACAAAACACGTATCCATTACAAACACCCAGACACAAAAAACACTCACCTCTATTCCAATCAAGGCTCAATGAACTAATAACAATCTACATAAAAACGACACTATTGACTTTCTGGTAGGAGGACGTGAACCTGAAGTTATTTTTCTAATCATGGCCATGAGTAGTTCAAGAGTCCTCCACACCCTCTCATGCAACCTCCCCTAGTAGTTACTAGAATGCTTTTGACAGGTGACAACTGAGAACATTGGGAAGGGTCTCATAATGGGGTGTTTTCTTCCTCAATGAGCCAACCAAACTTTTTCATTCCTTGATATTTGCAATGTTTAAATGTTTGTGTCTTGTCAGAACATCAGATTAGGGTTTTGTTTGTTTGTTTTTAAAAGAGGGGTGAGGATAGAGGAGGTCCCAACATAGACCTTAATATTATGATGTCAGCTCAACGCATACTTTTGACAGACAACCAGATACTGCCCAGGCCCTCAAGTCAAAACTGGACCAGACAGGGCAAGTTTCTGATCATGCCTCCAACTTAAAGGCATCCATAAAAGAATACCTGGGTGAGGTTCTTTCTTACATATCCAACTATCTTCTGACAAACAAGAGGAGGGGTGTGTGTGAGAGGGTGTGTGCAAGAACAGGGTCTTTCCCTCAGAGATGAGGAGATCTAAAGATCATCTTTGCATGAGAGGAACACTTCAAAAAGCTAAGGGATGCTCTTCAGCATGGTGCCCCTAAGCAAAGGCAGGCAATTATAAAATATGAGATACATTAGACCACAACCTGGGTATTCTCTCACCCTTGATCCTGAGGCTAGCAGGATCAAGGAAGATTCCCCACTCCCACCCCAAGCCCAAGCCCTAGAAACTCTAATTTAAAAGATGTTCCTCAAATTATAGATTCAGTCATCCAAACTACACAATTTCCTTAAATTTATACATTATACAGTACATGTGCAAGAACTAAATTACTTACATTTGGACAAAGTAAAAGACTTAAGGGAAAAAAAAACACCCTTAACTCAAATGGAAAGAAGATATTTTTAAACGCCAACAGCATCACCAACTTCCTCAACTCCTTTTAGGAAGTTTCAATACATTCATCTAACAGACACTAATTATTCAACTGAAAAATTGAGGCATCAGAATTGACTATGGCTTGTTGTGGCAGACCCCATATGACTGCTTACTAAAACCAAGGGCTAGGAAGAAGCACTTTGCCCAAAGCCCTTTACACAGCTGCAAGGCTGCACAATCAAAAAACAATGAAAACACATTGTTTATTATGGAGATTCTCTTCAGGAGACAAGATGCATGAAGTCTAATGAAATCAACATAAAAATGAACTCTCTTCCAAAAGAATAAAACTAGCATAACAGAGCCAACAGAATAAGCTTCATTTGTAGAAGGGCTGCACATTTGGCCAATGTAATTTATGTTATCTTTTTTTCTGTATTTCTTGTGTTTTTGAAGAAGAATGTAGCAACTTGGTTAGAGCAGAGGGAAAAAAGTTCTCAACTTCTGCCCTTGTGAAATGAAGAGATGGGTATATTCAGTATAAGAAAGGGTAAAGAAAGATTAAACATGAAAGTGGTGTTTTTAATGACAAATCTACACTACTTAATGGGGGGAGGGGAGAATATAAAGGTCTAAATCTGCTTTAAGAACTGTCAATACTCTACTTAGCCAAACCAAGAGAGAATTTATGCAGAAGTAATTCTATTCATTTAAAACAAAGTCACTTTATGATATCTAACCACATATCTAACACATATATATACATGTGTTTATACATCCATGTGTATATATAAATATTATATGTAGAGAAAGAGAGAGTCTGAATAGATTATCAACCAAACTATTTACTGAACACCAACCACATGCCCAGCAATGTGGTTAGTTACTATAAGATGATAACATAAAACTGCCCTAGCACACATCCTCTCCTGGCCTAGGCAAACAGGGTAGTGGTGATTTTCAAAGCAAGTTAAAACCTTCCATTCCCTCCCCATTAAGTTTGGTCACTTTATCATTAATGACTTCTGTATCTAATCTTTCTTTACATTCCATCAATCTGTTTAATAACCAATAGTCTCTCCCTCTCCTCTCTGTGTCATATTTATGTCTATATCTCTGTGTTGATATGGAAGGAAGAGGAGAAGCGAACAAGGGAAGGAGGAGAGGGAAGGAAGAGAGGGAAAGGAAAGAAGTAATTTTCTTTGGTCATTAAATAGACTGACCATCTGAATTACAGTCTAGCTCCCTCAGGACCACAAATAGCTAAGCAGAAGGCCCAGACCTCAGTAGGATGAGTCAGTGGTCTGATTATTTGGTCAGAGATGGAAATAGTGAGCACAGGATCACTGCTCCTGATGCTTTTAGAGTCTTGGGAATAGGAATAAAATTAAGCAGAATTAGGTGATGATTTTTAAAAAATAATCTTATAAAGTTGACTGAATATACATTCTAGCACTACATGCCTATAAGCCCCAAAGTGATCAGGGAAATTAGAAAGATAGATAGAATTCAAAGTTGGGGTTTTCTCTTGGATCAGACCTACTTGCAAGTCACCCTCAAAAAAATAATAATCCCTGTCTTGAATATTTTGTATCATTTTTATACAGTTCATAAAACCAAAAAAAAGATTCAATTCTTATTTTTGCAACAGTCACAATGTCTTGTTCAACCTGTCAATTTTTACTTCAGTTCTTCTGAAATGTTATCCAGCTGGTGAAACATTGTAACCATTGTACTGACAAAACAATTAGAAGTACACAGTTTTGTTTTGTTTTTAACCTAGTAATTTTGTTATGGCATAGTCTCTTTAATTACTTAGGATGTTTGCTCAGCCTGTTCATATTTATAACAATATGCCAATTCTCAGGTTGCAGTAGTTTGTAGCCTTTAAAAATAAGCACAATTATGCTCATACTGAATCTAGCTTATAAGAATATAGCCGTGAATCTACTTTTAATAACGCCTTGTAAAACCTTCGATTTATATTAACCCTTTCAAACCCCATAGACAATTAATAAATTAAGCTGCTATTAAACATTAACCCTTTTCCTGAAAATATTTAAGCAATCCACACAATCCCACGGTTCCATGAATAATTATCAAAATTAAAGATTGTATGAGAAGAATCACGCTTAAACCAATATACTTTTGCTACAAATCAAGTAGTTAATAAGGTGAATTGAAAGATGTAAAGGAACTATTTTCTAGGAAAGTCACAATGTCTTTATTATAAAACTTTAAATTATACCTCATATGACATTTAATTCAGAAAGCAATGTCATTGCTGTCTACTTTAAATAACTCCCGGAAAGCTGAAATCCGCATTGATGGAACCGAACACAAACACCACAATTCACGGTGGCCAAAAGAATGAATTTCCTTAGTCGTGCTGGTAAATAAACTTTCCATTACATAGCCTAGTGCACCACTGGAAATAAAGGACGCAAACGTGTGCCTTGGGCAGTACCACAGCAAGAAAATGTACTTCAGGGTTTTAAAAATTCATTTAGCAAATTAAAAAATCAGGAGATTTATTGTTTGCAGTTAGCGCCAAATTCATCCCAAGTGACAAGAAAAATACTATATAAAGGTGGAAAAACAATTAGGATAAAATCAATAACTGGTTACCTTTAAAACTTTGGGCTTCTTTTCCCTCTGAGGTCTCTTGTTTTCCTTTATAACCTAAAAAAATCAAATTGCATAATGAGCCTCATTTAGAGAGAGGAAGAAAAAAGTGCCCCCTTCCAATTAATGACAAATGCCCAGCAAAACTCTTTGTATTGCTTCAAGCCGCAAACATGTTTGATGGGAGGAACTTAAAAAAAACAACCGTGGTGCAAATGTTCCACTTGCAGAGTCTTCCCCCCGACGCCGCCCGGCAGCCCCCCCCCCCCCCCCCCCCCCCCCCCCCCCCCCCGCCCCGCGTGGGTCCTTCTCCCCAGCCCAGCCCAGCCCAGCCCACGAGGGAGCCATCTTGCCTGCTCCTGCTCCTGCAGCAGCAGCCGCCGCCTCCACCGCGGGGCCGTCCAGCCGAGCGCTCGGGGGGGCTCGGGCTCATAGTGCCCCGAGGCAGCCCCGGCCGGCCGGCCCCGCGGACAGCGACAGCGCGCTCGGCATGCCTCCCGTAGAAACAGCCCCAGAAGAGGAGGTGCAGTGCAGCCAATGGCAGCGCCGCGCCGCGCCGCGCCCGGGCTGCCGGGCGGCGGGCGCTCTCCAGGACGGGCTCGGCTGGGCTCGGCTGGGCTCGGCTGGGCTCGGCTGGGCTCGGCTCGGCTCGGCTCGGCTCGGCTCGGCTCGGCTCGGCTCGGCTCAGCCCGGCCCCGTCCCGGCAGCCGCCGCCGAGCCCGGCTCAGACAAAGGACCGCCTGTACAGGCTTGACTCTTCCCCACCTCGGCGGGACCCAGGCGGCCCCAAGCTGCGGCATGGAGTGGGCGGCACAGGATCTGGGCTGCGCCGCCGCCGCCGCCGCCAACCGAGGCCCCCGCATACACAATGCACCGCGAGCCCCCTACCCCGCCCCGCCGCGCCGCGCCGCGCCGCTCCGGGCAACCCCCGGGCGGCGGTCACCGGCGGATCCCCGGGGCCGGGGCCAGGTCTGCGGCCCCCGGAGGGTGCGGGCCGGTGTCACCCCGGTTAAAGGCTGAGGGGCTGGGGCGGGAGGAGGGGGCGCTGAGAGCTGAGGGTGGCCCTGGCTCGGCGAGGTACGGTGCAATTTGACTTTATAAGGCGAGGCTCCATATTAGCTCTATTTAAAGGAGGAGGAGGGAGGTTATCTGAGGACAAGCCTGCCCGCCTCGCCTCGCCTCGCCTCGCCTCGCCTCGCCTCGCGTCGGCTCAGCCCCGCTCGCTCAGCTGTCGTGGGGCTTCCGGGCTCCTTCCTCCGCTAACCACACCTTTGCAGCAGCAGGAGCGGGGCCCCTCACACTAACGCACACCGAGCCGTTTGATTTCTGTCAATAAACGTCTCCGGGTGAGTGAGAGCAGATTAAAATGATAATGGCAGCAATGACATAGAGAGGGAAGGGAAGCTTCCTACAACGCACTTCCTTCCTAGCCGTGCGGAAGGACCGAGGGAAAACCTTTCCTTCAGTCTCTGCAGGCACTTGGGCTGACCTTTTCTTTTCAAAAGCAACCCCACCAATCTCTCTGCGCCGCCCCCCCCCCCCAGGTCCTTTCCACCACCACCCCTCTCCCCCAAGCCTTAGGCTCAGACGCCGAGCTTCCGTACAAAAGCCAGATCTTTGGCTTCTTCCCATCAAAAGCCTCCCCCGATCTGGGCAGGGGTCCCTGAACATTTATTCCCACTGCGGTGCAGAGAAGCCGGTCCGCCACACAGCAGCTGCCACGGCTTGCAGGTGCCATCTCCACAGCCCACCTAGCTGGGCGGCCAAGTACCCAGCGTTTAACGAGAGCCGTCCCACCGCAATCCTCTGACCGCTGAAGGGACCCCCGACTTTGCTTCCCATACTTCTCCCTCACATTCCCCACCTTGGGTCCCTGGTACAGACGCCCAGTCCCCACACACCTCCCCCGTCTCCTCTGGCCGAAGGAAGAGACCCACTGGGTATGCTGGACAGCCTGCCCAAACCAACAGCAGTATAGATAACGCATCCGAAGAGGGTTAGTCCCGGAAGCATAGGAAAAGACTTTTCACTTTCTGCCCCTACCTTATCTGAGCCCATCAGGCTGTCTGGATTTTGATTACAAGCCCCGCCTTGAACTTGGAGTCAGAAGCTGGTTTCAAATCCTGTCTCTGCAACTTCTTACCTGGGTAACCTTGAGCTTGTCACTACCCCTCACTGGGCTTCTCTCTAAACGAGTGGGTTGGACTAAATAATCTCAAAGGTCCCTTCCCCTGCTCTATCAAATTACAAATCATTTTCTTAGTCAAAATTCTAAGTAGGGCATACTGACCAATCTCCTAGCCAGCCTCCTAACCTATCTGTACCACTACTTCATTTAAACTCTCAGTCACTACCCTACCCCACACATCCAAAAATAAATCGTTCAAGAAAAGCCATTTTTGATAATGGGGATGGGGGATTGAGGTCTCCTGCCTCACTAAAACACGTAACGAAATTGATAAATTCTAAGACCGATTCAAATCCTGACAACCTAAGCTGGAAATATCTTTAAGGAGGACTGAAGCTTTTCTTTCTGGAATGGGACAATAAAAAAAAAAAATCTGACATAGATGTTTTATTTTTAAGCTACAGAAAAGTTTCTATGATAACTAAATTTATTTCTAAAACATCCCACAAATTATTCTTAGGTTGTTGCCATGTTAAATAAAACATCACTGAACAGTGAAGTATATTGATTATAGTCATACCTGCACTATTATTCAAATGGTTCTTTTTTCCCCCTAAAAGCCAGATCAGGAATCAAAGAGCTAGTTTAAAATAACTCAAAAAAACAAAGCTGAAAACACGAGTCCATAATATTTTCACTATGCTGGGCACTTATGATGATGGAAAATAACACTATAGATCTGGGTGCACTGTTCTGCAAAATGAGTTAATAAATAAAGCCGCTGTTAAATAAATTTATTGTTGCTAGATGGGAGATTTTATAAAAAGTGACCAGGGAAGATAATTAGTTCCAAAGGCCCAGGTGAGTCTGAACCTCAGAGTTGTACATGTTTAAACACAGAATAGATTGGTAGTGGCTGATGGTTAAAGCCATTTTGTTCAAAGTCTTCTACCTAGTGATTTAATAGTCTCAGTTCAATGAAAAGGTGACAATTTCATCCCAAAGGTAATTATCAGACCACACTATTCAAAAAATCAGAAAATGTAGAAACCCAGTTCAATTTCTTGACTGGGGGTGAGGCAACTTGGTTCAGTGAAGCCACAACTAGTCTAGGAATCCAACTCTGCTAATGGATTTGATTAAGTGATATACCTCTCTGGGCATTAGTCTTGTGATTTCTAAAAGATAAATCATGGTCCCCAGCATCCATAACCCAGAAGTAAGACAAGATTTAATGACAATAATTCCAGTTTGAGTGTTAAGATTAGGGTTACCCTGCAGCCAGGGAGAGTGGATACATTGCTACACTTGGACACAGGAAGGCCTGGATTCAAATCTCGTGTCTGTTACTTATTCAGCCAGTCAACAACCCTAAATTAAACAGACAGATTCTAAGAAGTAGAGAGCCTGGCAGAGGGAGCAAGAGGAGAGCATCAGTGGAAGGAAAATTCAGAGTCAATTCAATTCAACAAACATGTATTATGAACCTACTGAGTTATAGAGCACAAGTTTGAAAAATACTCAAATGGATTCTGTGATCTCATCAACCTGGAATTTTCCCTCCAATGATCAAGATCACAAACCAGCCACACCTACTCATTCTATGTCACTCTTTTTTTGGTGTAAATTTTTTATTTTACACTTAAATACAAAATGAGAAAAGAAAAAAAAAACATTGCCATGTACCCATTCTGTGCCACTATTGTCCATGTCCTGCCATCATTTGTCGCGGGGTTCCATCCAACATGCTGGAGGCCATCCCTTACCTTCTCTTGACATTACATAATGTCCCATCTGTTGTTGCTCACTTTCACCCACCTTCCCATCCTATCACACATTTCCCAGATGACACCTTTTATTCCTGTTCCATGTGCTCCAGAGTTTGCCCATGAGTGTGTATAACTGGAAAAGTGATAAATGAACAAGTGAGGCCCAGGAGAAGGTAAACAGGGAAAGTAGTGGGTAGAGAGAAGACTGGGTGGCCTTCAGGAAATTGTAGAAGTTCCTTTAATGACCCCACACTTCTGGAAACAAAGGCCTGTCTTTTGAATATTCATATCATACTAGTGTTGTAGAACTGCAAGCCCTGAAATGGTATAATCACCAAAAAAATGAAAATGAATATCAAACAGAGGACAATGGAGAGAGAAGTCTAGGGCAGATGTGCTCAGGTTGCAACACAGAATGAATGAGGTGCTGGGAATCACAGTCCCAATCTGCAAAGAGCTTTCAGCCTGATACAATCCAAATCCTGAACTGTGTCTTGAAGGTGGGGAAAGATGCCAATAGACAAAAATGGGTGTCTGTTCCAGTGATAGAAGATGGCACCCACAATGGTATGGAGGCAGGACAGATCAATATGAAATGAGGGAATAAAGAGGAATCCAATATTTTAGGGCCAGCATGTGTGAGGATCAAACTAAGAGCATGATTTTTATACTAAGGGTAATCCTTGCCTGAAGGATTTCCAATACTAAGCTTTTGGCAGCCATAAACTTTGAAATATAGTATTCTTTGAAAATTAGATCTCAACCTAATTAAGCTCAAACCCTCAGAATATAGGTACAACTTAATTCTGGTGTCAAATACCAGGAAAGAAGAGTTTCCTTCATTACTTGTGAGATGTAATAAAAACTTCCCCAAAAATCTCACAACAGAAGACCTCAATGGAAACAAGGAACAAGCTAACACATATGACCATAAGTGGGCATGTTTTATTGTCCTGTATTTGTGGACAATAGGTTTGTACCACCTTTCAAGTATAAGTGCAGCTTTGTCTAGGTGCCTGCACATTGTAGTCCAATTTCTCTTTTCTCCTGTCTTTTTGTTTCTCTCTCTAGTCAACTCCTCCCCTAGGACCTCTCTCTGGCAGTCTCCATTCCCTCCACCCTTTCCCCAAGGGCCAGTTGGATTCCAGATGTTATGTGTT